GGGGGGGGCTGGGTGGCGCGCCGAGGCTGGAGCGTTCGCCACTCCTGGGGGTAAGTGGCAAAGTGGAACATGAAGGATGGCATTCCCCTCAAAATGTTGCTTTTATATGGGGTACTTTCTATCAATTACGTTTTGTGGGTAGCGTGCGCTGGGTTAGAATGTCCACGTGCTTTACAAAACCCAGGCAGTGATATTATTATTTTTAGTATCTTCTGCACCATAGGGACATTCTTGGAGCATTGTGCTCAGAGTCCACTTTTACAAAATACAGCCGTACATAACGGTGGCCCAGGGGGCCCGTCTCACAGCAGACTCTGCAGTGAAGGATTCAGTGACTATTTTCATCTATTTATCTGGATTGTATTTGGAATGTAGGCCTCAGCTCACAGGTCTGTGGTCAAACCATGAGACAATACAGAAGAAGGAAAAGCCACGTGCCCGGCTGCTGGGGTGGCGTTCTGGGACACTTCCCTGAAATAGTGACCAGTACAGGTTGTCCTCAAGGTCCTCATGCAGTTTTTGTTTGTTTTTTTCTGTGTTGGTAGCATCACACAAATTCTGCTACAATTCATGTAGTTTTAAGCCACGTGGAACTGAAAACTGCACAAAACTTTTGGGACGCCTCGACTATTAAGAGGAGAAAGAGCAGAGACCTTGGGGTCAAAGGGAGCGGTGTTCAAATCATTTGGTATGTCACTCTTTGTCATGGTTGAGCGGCCTAAGTTCCAATCCTGGCTGTCGCTCAATAGTTGCAGGTTTTTGCAAAGCTATTTAACCTATAATTCTTTCGTTTTTCCGTCGTTTCTGTTGGAAAAGTTCTTGTCCCAGAGGCTAGCTTGGCTCAAAGATGTGGGAATTATTTTTCTCTGAAGAGCGTCAAAACCCTGCTGCTAAGCCTGAAAGTGCTCACCCCTGAGGATCTGGAAATGAATAAGACCACCGGCTCACCGTCAAGGAAGAAAACAACCAAAAGCTCAGATTCTTGAGGTTCAGGGACCTCGAGTTGCATTGTTTACACACGTCAGCACGCTTGCCCATGGTCTTCAGGACCCCTGGTTGTTGTTATCAAGAAATAAGACTTCTGTGCAATAAGAGCTATCTTATATTGAGCTCTTTCCACTAGTCAGGCTCTGTGCTAGGTTCTTTACATTATATAGGGCTGGGCAAAAGTAGGTTTACAGTTGCGGGTACACGAAACAGAGTTTATTCTTTGTATTATTTATTAATTATTGCATTATTTTCCTTATGAACAACTGTAAACTTATATGCACCTATCCCTATATTATCACAAAGACCTTATTAAGTAGATATCATTGCCCCATTTTATAGATGGGGAAGCTGAGGCTCAGATAGATTTATTTATTTATTTAAAATCTATTTTTATTGATTTCAGAGAGAGAAAAGGAGAGGGAGAGAGAGAGAGAAATATCAATGATGAGAGAGTCATTGATCTGATGCCCCCGATTGGGGATCGAACCTGCAACCTGGGCATGTGCCCTGACCGGAATCGAACCCCGATCGCCTGGATCCTAGTTCGACACTCAACCGCTGAGCCACGCCCGGCAGGGAATGCTTTTAGCTTCTGAAGTCAGCTTTTGGGGGATCTGCAAGGACCCACTGGGGGAGTTGGTTTAGTGGCGCATTCTACCCCACCCAGCCGACTTAGAGGTGGCTCTCATCCCAGGGGAAGCATCATGTACTTTGGAGGGATCTTCCTCTCTGGCCTCTCCAGGTGGAAGATGCTCCCATAGGGACTGTGCACCTCCGGAATGTGGAGTTGAACACCAGCCCAGAAGGTGACGGTGGAGTCATTTAGAGGAACTGAGCGATCTCTGGGTAGGGGAAATGAGAATTGAGCCAGAGGAGCTAAGTGCTGGGCACTCATGTCACTCCATGCAAGCCTGGAACAGTGCATCTGAGCCTTGCTACACATGTCAACACATCTTCCCAGCACTCAGCCAGTAAAATAAAAACACATGTGCAGTGAGCGCCCTGTTGAATACTTTTTAGTTTACAATCCGCAGAGCCGGTTCTTTTCTAAACCAGCTACTCCACCGGAGCTTACAGGCATTGGCCCCCTCAGCCAAGACAAGCAGATGGTGGCAGGTGATGACCAGCCCTACCGCACCATCCCCCAAGAAGCAACCAGTCATTCCTCTGACATAGAGGCAGAAGAGTAGAGAGTTTAAAACCCTGGGCTCCGCCTTGCTGCTGTGTGGCCTTTGGCAGGAGGGGACTTTCTCTGGGCCTCTGTTTCCCCTACTGTAGGAATCTACCTTACAGGACTGTTGAGAGGATTCAATGAATTGATACCTGCAGAGCACTTAGAGCCCAGTGAATGGCAGCTGTGATCACTGTCCCTTATGTGAATTTATATATAGCAGTTCTAGGAACTTTAGATAAATTTACATAAAAATGTCATCTATAGGTATTAACTTCATTTTGCTGAGTGGAAATGGAAGTTCATAGAGGCTGAATGACTGGGATCCAGTCTTTATGAGTTCCTGGTTCAATGCTTTTTTTTTTTCTTCCCATTGATTTTTCAGAAAGAGTGGATGGGAGGGAAGAAGGGAGAGAGAGAGAGGAACACTGATGGGAGAGAGACACATTGACTGGTTGTCTCCCACATGTGCCTAACTGGGACCTGGGATCCAACCTGCAACCCAGGCACATGCCTGTGACGGGGAATGAAACCCGAGACCCTTTGGTGCACAGGCTGATGCTCTAACCGCTGAGCCACAGTGACCAGGGCTCAGTGCTCTTTTTCACTACAACAAAATGCCTCAACCAGTCCAAAAATATTAAATGAAAAATTCCAGAAATAAACAATTTATGCATTTTAAATTGTGTGCTTTTCTGAGTAGCATGATGAAATCTCACGCTATCCCCCCAACCTCACCTCGTACATGAAGCATCCCTTTGTCCAGCGTCTCCACACTGTACACACACCCGGCCCTCTAGTCACTCAGTAGCCGTCTCGGTTATCAGATGGACTGTCATAGTATCGCAGTGCTTGTGTTCAAGTCACCCTTATTTAACTTAACAATGCCACATTCACATGACCTTTATTACAGTATATTGTAATCGCTCTGTTTTATTATTAGTTACTGTTGTTAATCTCTTACTGTGCCTAATTTATAAATTAAACTTTATCATAGGCTTGTATGTATAAGAAAAAACTTAGTACATATAGTACAGTGTTCTGTACGATCTGCAGTTTCAGGTATCTGCTGGGGGTCTTGGAACATAACCCTGTAGGTAAGGGAGGACTACTGTATATATATGTTCATGAGCATGATCCTTTGCTGATAATCACGCCTTCTCCATTTTTAATTATGTAAGAAATGGTTGGATGCTTATTGTGTTAAGAATGCCTCACCTTTGGAAGTCTGTACTTCTCTCGGAGATGAACTCTGAGGCACGCCCTCTCTGCCTTTTTTTGTGTGAATGCAGCATCTCTTTCCATCCTAAAAGGAAACCAATAAAGAAAGGATCTAAGGACAGGGAGCTGAGGATGTTCCAGCCCCTGCTCAGAGGAGCCAGTCACTGGGCTACCCCTGCTAGTCCCACTGCTCTCAGATGTGGGGGATGGGGCCGGGGAGCTACATTTCTAACAAGCTCCCTAGTGATTCTTCAGCCAGCTAAAACATCCAGAACTGGGGGTGCTTTGGAGGCACATGGCATTTGGGGATGCAGTGTAAAGCCATTTCCCTTCCTTGTCTCCCCTTCTAGGGGTGGTCCCTTCCCTGTTTGGAAGGAGGCACCCCAAGCAAAGTGAGGTAGATTGACCACCTAACTGGCCTTGTGATTGTGCTGGTTTGAAATAAACTCCACAGAGGCAGACACCTTTGGGGATGTCTGCAAAGTTCACAGCACCGCCTCCCCTCCCTGTCCACAGAAGTGCATGACTGGGGCTAAATTTACACATGGCCATGAGCTGTTTCCATGGGCCACGTGGCCTGGGAAACGGAGGAGAGAGCTCACTCCTGGGAAGGAAGAGCAGAGCTGCACTGAGGATATGGAAGCAATGGCAGGGAGTGGAAAGGGTGCTCCCGGCTTCCCAGCAGCTCTCTGCTTCCTAGTCGAGGCCCAGGGTATCTGCTCATGGGTTTGGTGAGGCATCTTTGCATGAAGCATTATTTGCATTAAAACAAACTACGTTTTCATTTTCGGGTGGCTAAGCTGGTTTCTATTCTTGACTATAAGTTTTGAAATCATCTTAACCATGACCTGCAAGGCTGACTGCAGGAAGCTGGATGTGAAGCATTCAGATTAAACAGCCCCCTGGGCCCTGGGCTCTGGGCTCAGGCGCCCCCTGAACTCACTGCCCGCCACAAAATGTCAGGCCTGGGGTAGGCAGGAGGGAACACTGGGTTCAATCTCCTAGTTTTGAACAGGGAAACAGAATAAGTGACTTACCCAAGACATCAGTGACCTGTGGCGTGGGGCAGAAGCAGGTCTTTTTGTTCCTCCCAATATTTTATCATGAAAAATTTCAAACATACAGAAAAGTTGAAGGAATTTTACAGTGAAACCCATATACTCACTGACTAGATTCTACTATGAGTGTCTTACCAGACATGTTTTATCATATATCTATCCCCCTCTAACCATTCATTTATCCATCTTTTTTTTGGATGCATGACCTGTAGAAATCAGTACTCTTTTCCCCAAACACTTCAACTGCATACCATTAATTACAGTTATGTATTTGTTTATAGTTTTATCATCTACCATCTATCTATATCTATCTATCTATCTATCTATCTATCTATCTATCTATCTATCTATCTATCTATCTATCATCTATCTATCTATCATCTAATCATCTATCATCTTTGTCCTATTGATTCTGTTTCTGTGTGTAACCCAAACCCTATTAAGATATAAAAAACATTATTGTCGCCTGAGTATATTCTCGCTTCCCCATTTCCAACCAATGCCTACTCCCCAGTCCTACAGTCAACCACTGTCTTTTATTTTTTTTTACACTTTTAATTTTTTAAATTCTCACCTGAGGATTTCAGAGAAAGTGGAAGGGGTGGGGGAGAAACATCTATGTGAGAGAGACATATTGATTGGTTGCCTCCCGCACATGCCCCAACCAGGCCTGGTATGGAGCCTGTAACCGAGGTACGTGCTCTTGGCCAGAATTGAACCCGGGACCCTTCAGTCCCCAGGTCAATGCTCTAACCACTGAGCAAAACTGGCTAAGGCAACCACTGTCTTTTCGCCATGGTTAGATTGGTTTTGCCTGCTCTACAACTTCACATAAATGTAAAGCTTCTTTCATTCAGCATAAAAAACTTTTGAGATTTATCCAGGGTTTTTTTGTTTTGTTTTTAAAAATATCTTTGTTGATTTCAGAGAGAGGAAGGGAAAGGGAAAGAGAGATAGAAACATTAATGATGAGTCGTCATTGATTGGCTGCCTCCTGCACACCCCTGACTGAGAATCGAGCCCACAACCCAGGCATGTGCCTTGACTGGGAATCGAACTGTGATCTCCTGGATCCTAGGTCAATGCTCAACCCCTGAGCCATGTCCGGCAGGGCATCCAGGATTTTTATTTATCAGTACTTTCTTCCTTTTATTACTGAGTGTATTCTACCGTATGAATATATCACATCTGTTCATTCCTTCTGCTGCTGATGGATACCTGGGCTATTTCCAGTTTGGGGCTACTGTGAAGGAAGCTGCTGTGAACATTTTTGTAGGCTTTTTGTGATCATGTACATTCATTTCTACTAGGTGATATCTAGGCCTGGGATTACTAAGTGATAGGGTATTGGCTGACTAAGTGTAGTTTTATTAGAATCTCTCAGACCGTTTCCCAAGTGGTTATACCATCTTACATCTCATCGACCAGAAGAATTCTGTCACATTCAGGTCAACACATTTGGCATTGTGTCCTTTTAATTTTAGCCATTCTGGTACGTGTGTAATGTTACCTTAGTGTGATTTTCATTTTCATTTCCATGATGACTAATGATATCAGGCTCCCCCCCCCCC